GAATATGAAGGAGTATGAAAGAGAAAATTACTATGAGACTAGCTTTGGTGGAGATGAGGGGAAAACCATTTTATTTGAATATTTCAAATTAATTTTTACATTTTATGTATTTATTTTAGCATGTGCGGGAGTGTGGACACATAGGTGCCACTAACAAGAGTCAGTTCTCTCCTTCCATCACACATGGGTTCTAGGGATTGAACTCCTAGGGTCATCAGGCTAGGCAACAAGTGCCTTTACCCACGGAGCTGTCTCTCCAGCCCCTCAGTTTGTTTCTTTTTAGAAAGATTTTATTGTATTTTTGATTTGGTTTTTTTAAGACAGGGTTTCTCTGTATAACAGCCCTGGCTCTCCTGGAACTTAATCTGTAGAGCAGGCTGGCCTCAAACTCGCAGGACCCCCCTGCCTCTGCCTCTGAAATGCTGGGATTAAAGGCATGCACCACCATGCCTGGGTTAATTTTTATTTCATGAATATAGATGTGTTGCCTGCATATATGTCTTGCAACACTTGTGTGTCCATTGCCTGCTGAGGCCAGAAGAGGGACTGAGGTCACAGATGGTTGTGGGCTGCCATGTGGGTGCTGGAAAATGAACCTCTGGTCCTTTGAAAGAGCAGCCAGGGCTCCTAACACTTGCGCCATCTCTATAGCTCCTAGTTTGTTATTATTTTAAATACACAAGGAGGGCACACCTTGGCACTCTAAGTAACCAACACAGACTAAAACGTGTATTATTTTCTTTTTGAAAAAAATCATTATCATACATCAGTTATATCCAATAATGGGCTTCGTGATGACCTTTTCATATGTACATAGCATATCACATTCACCCTCCCCATCACCCTTTCTTGTCCCCTTCCCACAGACCCCTTTCTTCTTCCCAACTGGTCCTCCTTGTGCTTTCATATCCCATGTGTGTTGATGCAATGAATTTAGTGTGGGTTACTTATAGGACCCCACGAGGGGGTTATTTACAGGAACATGGTGACTTACCTGAAGAAAATGTCTTGTCCACCTCCAGCAACCATTAGCTATTTAAAGATTCTTAAGGAGGGATGTGACCTTGAGAGCTTCCCCTCCTCACAAAAAGTAACTTTTGAGGAGATTTTAAAATAAAATTGGAGCTGTAAGATGGGCATGGTGGCACATGTCTTTAATCCCAGCCCTTGGGAGGCAGAAGCAGGAAGATATCTGAGTTCGAAGCCAGCCTCATCTACAGAGTGAGTTCTAGGATAGCCAGGGCTGCACAGAGAAACCTGTGAGTTGGGGGAGACCTTAAGGTGTTACTGATCTATGCAAACATCAAGCTGCTACAGAGAGCTTGATTGCTTATTTATTTATTTATCTACCTATCTATCTATTTATTTATTTATTTATTTATTTATTTATTTATTTATTTATTTATTTATTTATTTAAGGTATGGTTTCATATAGCCTAGCCAACTCTGTATATAGCTGAGGTGACCCGGAACTCCTTCCCCTACCTCTCAAGTGCTGGGACTATAGGCATCTAGCTTCCTAGCTAGGGAGGCAGAATTCTTAAACTGGCCATAAAACTAACATGGGAGTGAGAGCCTTGAGATGGGCCAAGGCCTCAGAAGCTAGCAACCTCTTTTATTGGATACAGCAGCTTTTACAGGCTCATAGATGACAAACGAACTTTATACCTGCAGAAAACTCAACCAGCTGTGTGCAGCCCAGGAGCAGTAGCCTGTCAGATGAGAAGCTTGTCTCTCTGACAGTCACCCTCTTCCAATGTAACTTTGGGACTCTCTCTGTCCTTAAAGTCTCTATGATGACTCTCACTACAGAATTCACTCTTAAGTTCCCATCTGTGTTTTCCCCAGCTGTAGTCTAATAAGACCCCAAATAAAATCATGTGGCTTTTTACTGTTCCTGAGCTTGAATTCTTCAAAAGGAACTAGAGAATTGTGAAGCTGGAAAACAGAAGCCCTGAAGGAGAAATGATGAGTCCAACCTTCCTGTGACCCCTCTCATCTTCTAGATCCACTTCCTACACATATCACCTCATCCTTGCCATCTTTCCAGGCAGAAGCTTCCTCTAGCCTCTCAAGTACCTTTTGCAGAGTCTACCTCATGGCTGCTCCTCTCTCCTCAGCCCATGCCTCCACCCCACACAGTATAGCTTCCAAGAGCCTCCAACTGTAAGGAGGTTGAGTACCGATTTAAGGTGCAGGGATGTTCGCCTCACTCTTGCTTACTTTCCTTTATTACTATTTTACACTAAAGTATAACTTACACAAAATAAAATGCCTACATCTTAAGTGTGCAACCCAGTAAACTTTTATGGATATTTTTAACTGGGTAATGTGGGGGTAAAGGGAAATTTCCTCTTTCTTTTGAAAGTTTGTTAGAATAAACCAAGGAACATTAAATAGAGTAAAAACTTGAACCCCAATATGGGTGAAATCACAGGGGTGTGATTACTACCCAGCCAATGTCACTTGCAAACTTAGGTGTCTCTTTTTCTATAGGGAAGAGATAATAGACACGTTCAGACAATTTTTAAGAGCTTTTAAGTGATTATCAGGAAGTAACTGGTTCTGGAGACAGTCTTTTGGAGTCCAAATGAACACAGAAGACCATTGTTAGCTTACAGAGAAGTACAACCAAGGGTGTTCTAGTCCCCACTCTTCCTTTTTGAGATGGATAATGGGTTCAATTTGTAATCTAGCCTTATTGCTGATAAGGGATTTCCACAGAACCTCTCCCCATGCTTAGGAAGAAGGTCAAGGAAGGGTTGTTCAGGGAAGGAGGGCTGTTCAGAGAGGGCTGGGGATTTAGCTCACGGACAGAACAAGTGAGTAGCATGGAACAGATAATGCCCTGAGTTTGGTCTTTAGCATCAAATGGGGAAACAAACAAAACAAAAAGAAGAAAGGAAACAGGAAGAGGAGAGAAGAGATGGGAGAATACAGGTTACAGGATCTTAATTTTGAACATTATAAAGCTTTTGATTTTTATTTAGCTCAAATTGCTCAGCTTGCCAAAAAAAAAAAAAAGGCAACATATTGGAGCTGTCAGTCTCTGAAAGCCAACAGTAACCTCTATTCAGAGCAAACTATAAAATATTCCTAGCATCCCAGACTAGTCACTGGGCTATCTCACTGTAACCAGGGTTGTTGCCACCATGGCAGAGAAGCCAGCCAGGAAGGCAATGTCACTGGGATGTGACGTGTAGAAAAATCATGAAGATTTCCAGGTACTCTGCCTGGAGATATAAACTCCCTGTGTCCAGGTGGTATGTGTGAGGTTCCTGCACCCAGATCACATGTCAGAAGGACTAACAGGTACAGAGTAGGAGGGTTGTTCTGTAAGGCTTTGGGGAACAGTCACAAGGAGGAACGTTTCAGTTTTGTGCAAGACTCATCCTACCCGGAGCTGATGCACAATGGACCGCTAGAAAATGATAAGCAGGAGCTGCAGAGATGGCTCAGCAGTTAAGAACACTGGCTGTTCTTCCAGAGGACACAGGTTCAATTCCTAGCACCCTCGTGGTGCCTTGAAACAATTTGTAACTCCAGACATTGTCCTCTGACCTCCACGGGCACCAGGCACGCACACAGTGCACGGATATACATGCGGCAAAGCACACATAAAATAAACACATCTTTAAAAAGCTTTAAAAGTGAAAAGAAAATGGCAAGCAAATGCCATCAATAGAAATGTCTGTCAAGAATAAAGAAATCAAGCTAGCACTGGGATAATGGGGAGGAGGTAGGGGTCTGAACAGAGGTACCCTTCCCATCTCTAAGCTGCCATTGTTCTAGAATTTCACAGAAGTGGCGGGAGGACTCAAAAGCTAGTGATTATGATTTTTTTTTCCAGATGATAGCTTTTTGCTTTATTCCAAGAACTGTAAATCCCACTCTTACCGCCGTTAGGTTAGTCCACAGAGTGAATGAGCCAGAGGGACACTCTCTTGAGCCTTCCTCTGTTGCATACAGTCTAGGACTGGATGGAACAGGTATGGGGTAGCACTTTGAAGTACTGTGCCTGAAAGAGAAGTTGATTATCTCCTCTCCATGCCAAGTTGTCACGGGGGTCACCCAGCCAAACAGTTTCTGGGATCTTTCAGCGCTGGTACCCCTGGGTACAAGTGGGTACAATGTCACAACTTCCACCACTGTTAGGACATTTGGCAAAGGAGACGCTGAAGGGTCTTACTGCTCTGCTCCCAGGTTCTGGTGCTGGCACCATACCCCTGGCTCTGTCCTGGATACGCTGCCACAGGGCCCTACGGCAAAACCTCCACCTGGCCAGGCCTTTTCACGGGGGAAGAGATCTCTGCCTGAGGATTATCTCAGCACTCCTTTCGAATCCTAGTGTTTCTGCCCTCCCCCATTGCACTGTGAAGAAGAAATAGACTCCTGCACAGAGCCAGGCCTGACTGCCCGCCACACCTGTGATGGGACAGGTGGGGTGATGCACTTCCGTCCTCAGGAGGAAAGTGGAGAATATATACTTTTCTAGGACTTGGGATACTTGCCTACTATGATCTAGGCCTTGGGGTCAATTCCAGAACTTAAAAGCAGCAAAACGAAAGTCGGAGTTTCTGGGGTGTTTGTTTCCAAATAACAATGTGGTGAACGCCTTGGGGTTCCAAATGAAAGCCACAAGAAAACAATGTAGTGATGACACTATTTTTCTTCCATAGGATATAGGGTGTGGGGATAGAGGGCGGCACTGGCAGACCCTCAAAGTCCACCTGCAGCACCCCCAGGACCAAGTGAGGATTCAGACCGCCAGGTGCAAAGTCCACGGTGTAAGGCACACAGAGCCCTTAGCACAAGCTGGCGGGTCGCGCTTCCGGGTGGGTTCCAGCCCCGGACCCCGGGGAGGCGAGGCGGGGCGATCCCCGCAGCGAGACACGTGCGTCCGTGGCGCCCCGGACCGTCAGGCGTCCCCGCGCTGGCCGAGGGCGGGGCAGCCGCGCGGCGCTCCCCTCCTCTCTTCTCCTCCTCCCTCGCGGCCTCTGATCGGCGGCGGCCGCACTCGGCCCTGGGCTCACTGCGAGCTGCTGGCCGAACCATGGGCTGCGACGGCCGGGTGTCTGAGCTGCTCCGCCGCAACCTACAGCCCACGCTCACCTACTGGAGCGTCTTCTTCAGCTTCGGCCTGTGCATCGCTTTCCTGGGGCCCACGCTGCTGGACCTTCGCTGCCAGACGCACAGCTCGCTGCCCCAGATCTCCTGGGTCTTCTTCTCACAGCAGCTCTGCCTCCTGCTAGGCAGCGCCCTCGGGGGTGTCTTCAAGAGGACGTGAGTGTCGCGCCCGCGCGCCCCTCCCCATCCCCGCAGCTATGACCACCTGCCTAGCTGGGCTGAGTCTAGCCCAGGGGCTGCTTCCCTCCCCCACCACAAGCTCTCCCGGAAAACTCTCCCGGGACTGAAGGTGACATCTGGGCTATGTACTTGTTTCACTCACCCCCAAGAGATCTTAGAACCGTTTCGCCCTTGCTCACAGAGTCCACCAGCCAAGGCATGATGACAGAGATGCCTAAGAGACCCTTACTGCTCTGCTCCTCTGAGATCTTGTAGCCCCAGCGCCGGAGGTGGAATTGGCACTGAGGTGGGAAAACAGTTGGCGGTGCCAGCTCAGGGGGCAGTTCTCAGTGACAGGGCTGGCTTGTCGTTTGACCAGGAACCCCATAGGTAGCTCCACATCAGTTAACACAGGTGGTCCCTTTACCTAGGTGGTGAGGCTCCTGGGGTTTCCTAAGGGAGACAGGACATGCCTCCAACATTGGCAGCTGAGGCTGAGCCCTTGGGCCAGTGAGAGTCCCATAGCTAGGGCCAGATTGAGAGCAGTGTAGGGCCTCTCATCCATCCCCTAGCTCTGGTACCCAGGACCCCCACCATCACCCCTCCACTTTGTTCCTCCTCCCTGGCCTCTGCCAGGACAGAGCTCTGGTCTCTCCCTGGCACTTGGAATGAGTGCCCCATCTAGAGCCCTATTCTCCTGGCTAATTGTGTAAGAGTTCCCCTTAGGACTTTCTAGAAAGGCAGCAGCCTTTACTCTGTACAGCCAGGAGTAGAGAGCTAGAACTGAGGAATGAACAACTTGCATACCAGAGGCTGTTGTGTGGCCTTCCTCATTCTACTTTCTAAAAGATCAATTATCTGAATTGCAAAACCATGGTTGGGAGGTCTATTGAAAACAAACAAACAAACAAATAAATAAGACTGTGTATAGCAGCCATTCTAAGCCAAAGGGCCCTAGGGCTCAGTCCTCCAGGTGTGCAGGGAAGATGTTGTACAGGTATAAAGTGGACCCCAATCTAAGCAACCTAGAGCCTGGCATACCTCAGAAATTGGAGAGTGACTATTTTCATTTCCTCCGTATGCTATGGCAAATGTATGAATTCTCAGAAGCATGTCTCCTTGTGCCTACTGGTGTTTTTTGTGAGCTTGAGATGGCTTTGGAGATACAGGAACTCTGAAGATATGTTCCTTCTAGAAAATTAGTGAAAAGGAAGAGTGAGTATCTCTGAATATCAAGGGGCTCTGTTTTTTTGTTTGGGGTGCTGGGGATGGAACCCAGGTAAGCATGCATGCCAGGCAAGCTCCCTGCCTTTGGGCCACCCTCCCAGCCCTCACAGATGTTGTGCTGTGTTGTGCTCACCTTTCTGGAATTTTTTAGGAACATATGTAGCACAAACAGGAAGGAGATTGAAAATCACTCTAAGTGACAGATAGGCAAGCCTGCTTTTCTGAAATGGGGAGAGACACAAACCCAATGGGCCATCTCTCCCTGGCTTTGTTCCTCATTCCAGGTTCTTTATCCACCAGGCAACAGAGAGAGAATCCTGAAGCAGGAAACCACAGCAGTGTCAACAATAGTAACTAACCATTGTGCAAAGGGTCTATGTCAGGGCTAGGCTTAGTTCTTATATCAACCCATTTAATTTTCATCACAACCCTGCAAAGCAATGCTATTATCTCCATTTTATACACAAGGAAGCTAAGACACAGAGGGGTTAAGAAGTTAAGTTAGGTGTGGTAACCCCAGCTCTCTGGAGGCTGAGTCAGGAGGATCTTGAGTTGGAGGCCAGCCTGGACCACATAGCAAAAGCCCGTCTCAAGCAGCCAAAAATAAAGAAAAAGAAAGGAGGGAAGGAGAGAGTTCCAGAATGTGGGCTGTAGGGTCTGTTGTCCCAGGTGCCTTGGCAGTGGCCCTGCCTTACGAATGCCAGCAGCTGCTCTGTAGCTGAGGCTGGAACAAGAGGTGGCTATTCCGTGAGTCTTCATAGGCTGAGTATTCCTGAGCCCTGACAGTGCCTGGAAAGGCTAGGTGAGCCTCTGGGCCTCATGCTGGGATCTTCCAGAGCTGGGTAGGGCTCCTGGTGGTTTGAATTTAAATTCTGAGCTTCAGCCCTCACAGCTTCAAGATAAAATATTACCAAGAACCCTTTTGTTTGATAAAGAGCAAAGCAGCAATGATGGCCCCCCGCCTGGCTAACTCTGGGCAGTCTCCCCATTCCCACCCCCAAAGTGAATGGAAGCTCTGCCAGCCCTGATGTGGCTTTACCTGTCTCTGATAAAATGCTATGTCCCTGCAAGGAAGCGCTTACCAGTCAGTGTGCCAGACTGGCACTGGAAATGGGGGATTGCCTTAACAAATCTCAAGGGCCAGCTATAGAGAGGATGGGCGGGGAGTGCCTTTCTTTAGGGTTCTGCTGAGGCCTTATCTACTGCTTAGCCTCATCTGAGAGCTCTGGGCCACAGGGGCCTTCTAGACACCTCCATAAGGCAGGCATTGGAGTAGGTCATCAGAGCAACATCAGCCTTCCTCCCCTACACTTAGCTGAGTCAAAGATCTTGACCTTTAAATCAGGCCATCTGTAAACTTCCCTAGGAAAATATTGTTGAACACAAAGAGGAAATCTAGAGAAGAGACTTAGAAAGCTACCTGGCTGGCAAGGTGACCAGCCTTGTGATTTGACAAACAGGTAAAGGGTATTTAGACAAAAGGTTAGAGTTTGATTTTTCCTCCTGGTTTTGTGGGACCTGTCTAACCACCCCAGGCAGTTGGGAAACCCCCTTATCTCTGGGACTTCAGTAGATACACGATTTGAGATCATCTCCAGAGACTCCCAGCCTCCCCATGGCTTCTCACTGCTGAAGGAGTGAGAGCAGTAAGTGGCTGAGGCTTGTTGATATCTACATTTGCCAATTGACATACACTACCCTCCACCCCCTTGTATATATTTTTAAATCTAATTCCTTCTTATCTTCAAATCCCCTGCTGCCTGGACTCAGTTAAGAACCTCTCCCCTGCAAACCCTTGTAGCAAACTGAGTCTTCATCCCCCTAGAGCCAGCCCTGTAGTCCACTTGCATCTCAAGTCATTGGTCTCTTGAAGTCCCTGGAACACACCACAAAATGTTCCCCTCTCTGGACTGGGCTCTGATTGGCTCACTTCCAGAAAGCCTTTGTTTGTCCCTTCAACAGCTTGTCTACCTTTTGGTGTATTACAAACCTGTGCCAGAATCCTACTGGGAGTTCAGCACTGGGCAGGTTCTAGTTTAAAAACATCTCAAAGCCAGGCATATCGATGTATGCCTGTAATCCCAGTCCTTGTGAGATGGAGATGGGAGGATCCGGAATTCAGAGTTATCTTCCACCACATAAGGAGTTTGAGGCCAGCCTGGGCTACTTAAGGAAACCAAACCAAACCAAACAACAATGACAAAAATTCAACACATAGAGGTACCGTGAACCCAGAAACTCTACTCCTCAGTATATATCCAAGAGAAGTAAAAACATTTGTCCAGACAAAAATGCATACCTACAAGTTCACAGCAACAGTATTCATAGTAAGTGGAAATAAAATAATGGCCAGGTTAATAAAACGTGGCATAAATAAAGGAGCAGGTAGCCTATGGAGCCATCCTTACAGGGTATCTCATTCAGCCAAAGTACTAGTCATGAAACAGCCAGTCATGAAGGACCACACAGTGTATGAGACCATTCTTGTGGGCTACCCAGTACAGAGAATCTGGACTTGGCGGGGGCGGGGGATAGGGGAAGCCAAGTAATAAGTGGTATGAAGAAGCACATAGGGTGACTTCAATGGATATAGGGTTTCTTTCTGAGGTGAAAGAAATACTTAAAATTTAGGCTGGACACAGCAACACAAGCCCATAACCCAGCACTTGGTAGGGTGGTTGGATAGGAGGGTAGGAGGCTGTTAAGGCAGGAGGATAGTGAGTTCTAGGCAAGCCTTGGCTATAGAGTGAGATCCTATCTCACAAAAACAAATAAACAGACTTCAAAACTTAAACTATGATAATGGTCTCACTACTCACAATATGAAAAACAAAATTGATGTATACACTTCAAACAGTTGAATTTTATAGTATAGAAACCACATATCAAAGTTTTAGTTAAAAGCATCTCAGAACTCATTCCACAAATTAATTGATTCATTCAACAAATACTTCTTGAGCCACAGCCTGTTTTAGGAGTGAGGGCTCCAGACAAGGTCCCTGCTCTTCCCAAGTGGCCATTCTGGAGTGCAGTGTGTGACACTGAAATAGGAAAGGGACAGAGAGTGGCAGAGTTGAATTGTGGGCTACTCTAGCGAGGTGCTCATGGTAGGTCACTTTGGGGATGTGACATTAAGATCTGGCTCCTGAGGAACAGGTCAGGCACATCAGGAAGTGAGAGAGAGGTGTTTTAGGCAAACAGACCTAAGATTTGGCTCTGGTCTGTGGCACTTTCCACATGCCCAGCACCCAGTGAGCCGTTGAGGGCAGTGCAGCCGCAGCCTGAGTCAAACAGGCAGTTCTGCCCCCGTCACTGTGGGACTGTGAACAGGCTGGCCAAAGCATCAGTATGGAGGACTGAGGTGACTGAATTATAAAGAGCCCTCCTTGCCTCCATCAGCTGAGAGAAAATTGCTCACTGATCCTAGTTCCTGGAAGGATGGGCACTCTGTCTTCTGAGGTTGATGGGTACTGCACTGTGACTTCCACCATTTTGTCCTCCATTCCTTTCCATGGGAAAGGTGAGCAACCATGTGTCCCTGCCTTGGAGAGGGAGTTCCCAAGGAGAACGCGGTATCCCAGACCCAGGCAGCATGGAATTGGGGCTTAGCAGCATTTTTCCCCAACTGGGATCAGAGAGCGGGAATGGGCCCTGCCTGTATGGAGCCATGCAGTCCTGCCTCTTTTCACAGCACCAGGAAGCCAAGAACAGGTGCCCAAGGCAGGGGCACTCCAAGGTGGTCACATGTATATCTGGCAACCAGTCCTGAGAGGGGGTTAGCAGCTTACTCAAGGTCACATAGCCAAAATGGCCCAGCAGGCAATGCCACCATAGTCACAGCCAGCCTGAGGGGGAACGCTGAACCCTCCTCTCCACTCCCATTTACAACTTCATGTGGTGCCATTAATAAGTAACCTGACTATTTATCAGGCTTTCTGGCATAAGTTTCTTAAGCCTTGGAAGAAAGAGACACCTTTAACAAAGCCCAAATTCACATCTGATTTCCAGGGGAGAGCAGGCAATGGCACTCTGCCAGTCCTTGCCTCAGCTGGGGGCCAAGACCTGTACCACTCTCTTCCCATATATACCTTACTTTCCTGCTCTTTAAAGTGAGAAGGTCCTAGTTGCTGCTACTCTAACTGTGAAAGTGTGTGGAACCAGGAGGTGGATTTCTGGTACATACTCTTGGGGTATGGCAGCAGGAGTGGAGAGGAGGAAGAGCTGGCATTGGTCCCTGTCATCTTCTTGCTGGCATATCCTGGGCCCTGCATTGAAGAAGCGCAAGGCTGCAAGGAAGGATGAGCACCGGAGAGGGAGCTGCCTGAGGGCTTGAGAAGGAACTCTTGCCTTCTCCAATTAGAGTGGAGAAAACCAAAGCTCAGAGCGGCTAGATAGTAGAGGCTTGCCACAGGTCACATCACTGGGCATTATCACATTCCACCACATTTTGATGTCAAAATGTTTTAACATTATTACTCTGTAATCCTTGGTCAGCCACATTCCTGAAAGGGGCTATTACTTCAGCCATTTAAAATAAGAAATGCATATGCTTTAGTCTGGCCCTGGAAACAACACATTATTCTAAAGAATTTCTGGACTGCCCACACACACAGCACTAAAGCACCTGGAAGAGTGAGCTGCTGGCCTACTTTATGGCCCAAGAGCCCAGAACAAATGTGTGGTCAGCCTTCAAAATTCCAGCTGCAAGCCTAGACTCCAATCATAGCCCAAGTCGTGGCAGAAGACACGGGGAAAGGATTTTCCATGTCTGCTTCCTCCTAGCCTGGGTTCACTCAGAGGTCAAATGGGCACAGGCTTGAAGTCCACCTCACAGTATTCTCATATCTACTAAAAGTCTGTAACACTGAACAAATGTCAGTGGCTTTCATGCACACAGTAACACCATGCATTACCCATCCTTTCCTTTCCCTTACCTCCCTGTGGCTTTTTTCTTTTCTTTTTTCTTTCTTTTCTCTTTCTTTCTTTCTTTCTTTCTTTCTTTCTTTCTTTCTTTCTTTCTTTCTTTCTTTCTTTCTTTCTTTCTTTCTTTCTTTCTTTCTTTCTTTCTTTCTTTTTTGTTGTTTGTGTAGTCTTGGATGTCCTGGACTCACTTTGTAGATCAGGGTGTCCTCACAGAGATCTGCCTGCCTCAGCCTCCCAGAGTGCTGGGATTACAGGCATGCGCCCCCTCAGGATTTTGTTGCAAGTCTGAGTACTGTACTGAACCACCTCCACATAAGCCACACCCGGGATGCCCACTAAACACACACAAGACACTCAGCCTCTCTCCCACCTCTCACCAATTGTTTGATTTCTTCTATATTTTTGCTTGTAGCCCAAGCTGGTGCTGATCTCTCCAACTTCCTCCTTCTGCCTCCTGGGATAATAGGCATATGTGATGTGTTAGTTCCTCAGAGTCTTTGTATGTATCTGATGTGGTAAGTGAGGCAGTGGCAATGGGTTGGGAAAGGTACACATAGGAGTGCCTCTTGCTGTCCCTGAAGTTGGTCCACAAGAGTCTGCCTGCCTGTCTTATAGTAGGAAAGGAAGTGGAAGAGGAGAGAGAGAAAGAGTAGAAAGGAGAGGTCTACCATTTTCATCAAGTTTTCTGTGGATAGGCATCCCCTCTGTACCAGGTCCAGAGGAAGAGGCAGATAAAATGTGGTATCACATTTTAGGAAGCAGAAACACAAGTGAGTACTGCAGTATCGCAGCTGGGTAGTCAGGCTAGGAACTGTCAGAGCAGGGCCTGAGGGAGAGCTGCAAGCCTGCAGCCTGAATAGGCCACCCACACTGCAGACATCTTCCTTCCATCCTCTTTAGCAGAGCCTTGAAGCAAGTCTACCCCCAGGTTCCAAGAGGGAACAGACAGGGTCATGAACAGAAATCTCTCCAACAGATCAGCCTGGAAATGAGAAAATAACAAAATAACGAACTGCTGCTATCAACAGAACTGTTCTGATAAAGGCTTTAATCAGATACAAGACGATGAGATGGCTGAGTGCCAGGGGGATCAGAGTCACAAGCTGGCAAAAGATAACCTGCTGCATCTCTGGGGATCTTCCCTGCTTCCCTTCCAGGTTCCCTTCTGAAACCTCAGAGGTCATTTTGCCCTACCTCTCCCTTTTTCATACTCTGAGGACATTCTTCCAGAACCTCTAGAAACTTCTTGCTGCCCAACTCTTCCCCCAGTACAGCACGTTAGCTTGTAGACTGGTCCTAAAGCACACAAGTCTCTGATCCTTTCTCTGAGCATTTGGTATTAGGAGGAATTCACTGCCAAAAGGACCTTGACACTGATCTCTCCTGGGGACAGTCCTCAGCATCCCTGTGGAGGGCTGTTCTGATGTCTGTCTGAACAGGGCTCAGAATGGTCTCAGTAGAGATGGCCCCTGGCCCGTGTCCTTGAAGAGGAGTCACTGTATTAACCAAATTCTGTGTCATGGCTTTGGTCCTGGTAGTCTGGCCCTGTTTGGAAGCACAGCTCTTGTCAATTCCTGTGTGGAGGGCACATATGGCTTGTCCCTACTCTTGCCCAGCTGAAGACTTCGAGGCTCAGCCTCATCCCTGGTCCCCAGTCCTTATTTGTGGATATATGTCTCTTTTCCCTAGGGATGCTCAAAGTAGCCTCCCTGAGAGGGACAGGAATATTGCTGTGTAAAATTGCTTAAAGAGAATAAGGTTTAAGCAACATAACATGATAGTTAGGCTTTGTGAGAACCAATGTGACATCTGGTATGCTCATGGCAGCCGTAAGAAGCCCTTGCTGTACCAAGGTCAAGAGCCTACTCATACACCTGCCTGCAACACACAGTTTGTAACCAGTTCTTTCCTGCTGGTCGCAGAACAATGATGAGGAGGAGGAGGGGCCTTCCAGAAAGGCTCTGGGCTCCTCTGCTAACTCCAGCTCTCCCTTGCCCAGCCTGGCCCAGTCGTTATGGGCCCTCTTCACCTCTACCTTGGCCATCTCCCTGGTATTTGCTGTCATCCCTTTTTGCCATGATGTGAAGGTATTGGCCTCGGTCATAGCGCTGGCGGGCCTAGCCATGGGCTGCATCGACACCGTGGCCAACATGCAGCTGGTGAGGATATACCAGAAGGACTCAGCCTTCTTTCTTCAGGTGAGCAGCACAGTGGGAGGCTGGGTAGTAGGCTGTGTGTGGGGAGCTCCCCAGGCCCTCCTGATCACTTTCTCCTTGCTGGGCCATACACCATCAGTAATGCCTGGGTTTGGGTTTCTTCACTTCTCTATGGGTGATCTCTGCCTGCCTTGTTGGCCTCTCCTAGAGAACAAAAGTTCTCTAACTAAGAAAGGCAGTGGGACTGAGGGCTTGCTGTCTGTCCTTGTCTGTCCTTCTGTTTCTCTTCTCCTCTCTTCTTCCTTTCTAGTCACCCAGTGTATGTGGCAGTTACCAAATAAAGCAAGTTAAGGGAGGACAGTTTATGTTGGCTCACAGTTCAGGGAACACAGTCCATGATGATGGGGAAGGCATATGTCAGGAGTGGCTCAGTCTTTGGCACCAACCAGGAAGCAGAAAGGAAAATGCCAAGTTTTGCCTGACTGTTTCCTTTTCCTTCTTTTCCATTCAGTCTCAGACTCCAGCTGATGGTGCTTCCCATATTTGGGGTGGGTCTCCCCTCATTAGTTAGGCCTTTATGGCAATACCTTCATAGACACACCAGAGACACTTTCTTAGTGCCCTAGGTGCTTCTTAATCCAATCAGGTTGATGAAATTGATCACCATCATGAAAGAAAACAGCACCAATGGGAATTAAGGCTATGGAAATAAGAGGGGGAGGGAGGATTGGCCACTACTACTCCAGTTACCCCAGGAATCAAGGGTAGTGAAAGGGGGCTTTTCTCGACATTCTTCCTTCTTTCTCCTGCTTCCTGAGTCTTCTGCCACCTCCAGCTCTAGGGTCAGGCAGGGGCCTCCTGGATGGGGCATAAGGTAAAGGTGAGGGGAGGTGGCACCCTCTGGATGCAAATCCTGAGCCAGGCTGAGCGGTGCCCCCCCCCCCACCCAGGTCCTCCATTTCTTCGTGGGCTTTGGTGCTCTGCTGAGCCCCTTGATTGCTGATCCCTTCCTGTCAGAGGCCAACTGCTTTCCTGCTAATAGCACAGCCAATGCCACCTCCAGAAACTATGCATCCCGGGTCCTGAGCCAACATCATGCAGCAGCCCAACCTTGGTCAAACCAGACGATCTCCAGGCCACCCCCAAAAGATTCGACAGAGAACCACGTATCCTATGCCTTCTGGATCATGGCTCTCATCAATGTGAGTGTCACTGGTGCATGTGGGGTAGGGAGCTGGGGACAGTGTGCACCTCCCAGTCCAGCTCCATAGCACAGACTCTTCAGACCCAAGAAACATGCCAGGGTCCACTGTGTACAGGCAGGAGGGAGAAGTGACCTGTAAGAATTATTGTGACTCTGTGTTGGCAGATCACAAGAAAGGAAGGCAGCGGACATGTTTGCACAGTGACAATCAGGGTCAGCTTCCAAGTTCTCTGAGGCCTTATGAACAATCAGACCTTTTCATCCATGGCCAAGAGGCAGGTAGTGGCTTCTTTTCTAGGATCCTTTATCACTGTTGGAGATGGGTGAGCTCACAGTTTAGCCCTGCTCCTTGGGTTTCTGCTTCCTTGCAGCTGTAGAAACACCAGAGAGACTGTCCTAGTTCAGTTCTGTAACTGTGATAAAACACTCACCAAAACCAACTTGGGGGAGAAAAGGTTTGTTTCAGCTTATACTTTAGAATCCATCACCGAGGGAAGCCTGGACAGGAGCCAGCAGGAAGAAACTGAAGGAACAGTGCTTACTGCCTTGCTCCTCATCTCCCCATGGCTTACCCAGCTTTTATATATATATATATATATATATATATATATATATATATATATATATATATATATATATATATATATATATATATGTAAAAAATATATTATATATAATATATGTACTATATATAATATATTATAATATAATTATATATATATATATTATATAATGTGCATTTGTGTTTTACCCACCTCTATGTGAGGGTGTCAGATCATCTTGAACTAGAGTAGTTACAGACAGTTATGAGCTGCCATGTGGGTGCTGTGAATTGAACCTCAGTCCTCTGGGAGAGCAGCCAATGCTCTTAACTACTGAGCCATTTCTCCAGCCCCTCCAGCTTGCTTTTAAAAACAACCCAGCACTACCTGCTCAGGGGTAGCACTACCAACCTCAAATATCAATCAAGAAAGTAACCCACAGACATTCCCTCAGGGCAATCTGATGGGAGCATTTTCTCTACTTAGGTTCCCTGTTTCCAGGTGACTCCTGTGTGTGTCACATTAATAAGAAACTAAACAGCACAGGGCCCCACTGACCCTGAACAGCTTAGATACTCAGGCCCCTTTTGTGTGCCTGGCCAAGTCAGTGTTGACTCTGGCTTCTACCTAGAAACCTCCAGGTGGAGCACAGGGGACATTGGGACCCTCCTACCCACCAGCTCAGACCATCTTAATTGCCTGTCCTCCTGGTTCTGACCTATCGGGGGCTGGAAGTGAGGATATCCCAGGTGACCATAGCCTAGCTGTGGGACAGAGGCCCTGTGTGGGGCTTGCCACTTTGGCCCAAGGTCTCTCCGCAGTGAGGCCTATCCAGTCCTTCAGAGACAGCTGGCTACTGCAATGTGGAGTGTCTACATAGAGCACTGGAAGGGTCCTAAGCTCCCACCATAGTTGTACTGGGTGCTGAAGGGTGTCACACCTCATTGGCCTGAGGTCCTGATAGGGAGCTAGAGAGAGGCCAAGTCTTATCAGAGGTCATCACCTCCAGCCCTACAGCCCTGCTCCTAACTAGCCCTCTTTTTCCTCAGCAAGATACCGCTTTTCCCTCTGCTCTGCCCCTTTTATGCTCATGGCCACCATTTTGGCTCAAGGTAGCTTTGAATCTGTGTCCTCTTAGGGGTCCCTGATGAGGGAAGGATCCAGCCTCAATGACAGCTAGGACTCTGTATGCAGGAAGCCCTGAACAGGCTCAGGCTCTGGTCTCCCCACTAAGGTGCCTACTAGAGGGGCTGCTTGCTACAAGATTTCTGGGAATTTCCTTATTTGTATCTGAACATAAATAGCCCGCCACTAGAGGAAGATAGTAGTGAATGTACTGGCTGGCTTCCTTATGTTCACACACATACACACCTGCCTGGCATTGGCTGGCTTTCAGGGTGGCACTAGTGTCCCTGAGTAGGATTCGTATAAAAGCTGGGTGTGTTCTTGCCAGCATGCCAGCCAATCTGCTGTGAAGCCTTTCCCTTCACCCACCCTCCCTGGAAAGGCCTCCTAAGTTCCAGGCCTCAAGCCCAGCTGTTTCCCCTTGGCCTTCCCTCAGGCTTTCTGCCATTGAAGTCTCTTCCTGTTTCCCCAGTTAAGGAAGGGCTGAGTCTCCCCCATAAGGCTGACTCCCCCAGTACAGAGACATAGGTCTCTTGTCATGCAAGGGCACAGGTGTGGCATTACAGCTACCAAGGGCTATTTGAACATGCCTCTACTGTAAACTGTGAGATGGGGTATACTTTGTTTTCCAGGCTGATTTTATGCTCCTGTCTTTTGAGTAGCTGAGACTCCAGTTATGTGACAGCACACCCAACTGTGACCTTGACAAGCTTTTGAGTGCAGAAAAGGGCTCTCAAGATCACCAGAGGGAGCTAGGCTTGGTGGTGCATGTCTTTAATCCCAGCACTTGGGAGGCAAGAGGCTGGTGGATCTCTTGTGAGTTTGAGGCCAGCCTGGTCTACAAAGTGAGTGCAGGACAGCCGAGGCTACACAGAGAAACCATCTCACCCACCCCCACCAAAAGGATCACTGAAGAGAGGTGTCAGCATGGGGTTGGGTGGCTTTTTGTCTTCAGGCTGGTGTGAGCAGCTTTCTTAGGGTGCTCAAGGGGCTCCCTAAAAGCAGTGCACTGTCAGGTTGGGTGTCTGCCTTGCTTTCATTCCTGCCTGGCCCATTTCTGGCTTAGTCACTTAGTCACTTCTGGAACTCTCTGGCCTTTCTGAACTTTGTAAGCAAAGGAGCCAGGTGATAGCCACAGCAGGAAGGACAGCTGTGAGACCTGATAAAGAGCTTCCTGGCAGTGAAGGTGATGAGGCCTGGGCAGGGACACCTAAGGGAGGCAGTGGCTGCTTCTCTAGGCAACCTCAGAAGTAGGAGGAGTTTCCCATTGGGCTAGGGAGCACTGTTGGGACCAAGAGGCTCAGTGTGAAGAGCAGAGAGCTGGGCAGGGGGAGGGGGAGTAGGCATTTACCCACACCCGGTTTTCTAGCTTAGTCATCAAGTATCCTATGAGGATATGCCATGCCTTCAGCAGCTCAGAGGTAGGAACACAGCAGGCTGGAATCTGAATGCTGATGCTAGTTGTGTGGTGGGAACTTGGCACGCTCTGAGTGTCTGGTTGGGCTCATAGGTCTCTTCCAGTTCTAACAGTATGTGGCTGTGTAATATCTTTGAGCCCCATTTGCCCCATCTGGAAAATGCATTTAAAATCTTTTCAGCACCTTTCCTCACCCCTTGGTAGTACTAGAGATAGAACCTGGGGGCCTTATACTTGGTAGGCAATGTCCACTGAGCCACATCCCCTGCTCCTTAATTGCATTTTCAAAAATTACATTTGTGTGAGTATTTTGTCTGCATATAAGAGTATCTTGAGTGTATGGGCATGCATATATGCATGCGTTCGTGTGTGCTTGTGTGTGCGGTGATCGTGGAGGCCAGAAAAGCGTGCCAGATCCCCTGGGACCAGGATTATAGACAACTCTGTGTGGGTACTGAGAACTAAATCTAAGTCCTCTGTAAGAACAGCAAGTCTTCTTAAGTGCTGAGCCATCTCTCCAGATTCCCACCCCCAATCATATTTTATAAAGCTGTGGCAGACAAAAATAAGAGGCACTGTGTCACAGCAGCGTTGGGAGTAAGGGTGTTAGCAGGCAGTCACCTGGTGCCTGGCCTGAACAGAAGAGGACCCTTGTGAGTGTAGGCTTTGAAAGGCTTCTCTAATCTCCTGTAGGGACTGGGTGTGGCCAGGGCCAGCAGTGCTCATACCAAGTCTATGTCTGGCTCATGGGCTGGCAAAGGCTCTTTGGTGAGGTAGGCACCTTGGACTGTGAGCCTTGCAGCATGGCCCTCCTGACCCTCTACTGCCCTCAGCTCCCAGTGCCCCTGGCTGTTCTGTTCCTGCTGTCCAAGGAGCGGCTGCTGACCTGCCCGCAGCGGAAGCCACTGCTACTATCTGCAGACGAGCTTGCACTGGAGACCCGGCCTGCTGAGAAGGAAGACACCTCCTCACTGGCCCCCAAGTTTCAGCCACACCCAGGTGCGGGCTCTTGTAATCTATTCTGGCTGCCCTAGTAACCCTACGGCCAGAAGATGAACCTAGACCCCAGTGCTAGTGGTCAGAAACAATCTTTGGCCCTGGCAGTCTCAATAGGTAAGTGATGGAGCCATCTGGCCAAAAGAATAAAAAGGCACACTGCCTCCATCCTTCTCATTCTTTCGTGGGTTACCTTGGGAGGGGGCGGGGTGGTTACTTGACCTCTGTGATCCTTGGTTCCACCAGGAGTGGGCAAAGAACAGCAGCTGCTTCTCACAGGTGCCTGAAAACTAGAGAAGATGGAAGCAGCAAGCAGCCCTGGCCTGACCAGGTGAGCAGAGGGGAGAGAGCAGAGGTTGACTTAGCCCTGCCCTTTTGTGCCTTTTTCAGGGCAGGAGGACCTGTTCTGTTGCCAGGGAAAGAACTTCCGGGGAGCCCCATGCTCTTTCTTCGCCATCCACATCACAGCTGCTCTGGTCCTGTTCATGACAGATGGGATGATGGTGAGCCTTCCTCCAAAGGCATGCTCTATTGAGAAGCCTCTACCCTGATAGCCAAGTCTTGACTGGCAGGAAGAGAGAAGTACATGGAGATCCACAGGACTTCGCCTGCAGTGCAGTGAACCAGTGTCTTGCCCATCTCCCACAGTGCTCACAGCCCATAGACACCGGACTCTGTTCTGTTTTGCCAATTATTGTTATTGTTTTGTTAATTCTAGAAAGGGATCTGTCTGGTGTTGTTTTGTTTTATTCCCAATTCTTTGTGGCCCAAGATTTTTCAGTTTTAATTGCTTTGCTTTGTTCTGGCCAGGATCAGATGTAGCCTTGGTTGGCTTTGAACTCTTCGTCTGCCTCCGAAATGCACTGTACCCAACTGTGATCCACATTTTTGAAAGCTCACAGCTCTGCTGCCCTGTGAGAGGCCACACTATGTGAACTCTGGGGCTTCTTGGCATGTGCTACAAATGGGGATTCACAAGCTAATGTCATAACCAAGCCACACTCCAGCCCAGGTGTCTATCCAACGGGTGACCTCTGTTTCTCTATCAAGTGCCTTTTCCAGATTGACTGCTGAAGGAGGGGACATTCCTAAGAGAAGGCCCTATTCACATGCCCCAGCTCACAGTACACCTGGTTGACTTACACCACTCAAGGGTGGATGTGGCCCTCTCTCCTCTCTTTTCTTCATTTGTAAAATAAGAGGTTAAGCCTTTTGCCTGTCTTCCCAGGCCCTGCGGGGAATCCCCATAGGGACCTAGTGGCATCTCTAGTGCTGCTGTGGTACCCATTCTGTTCTCAGCTTGGGTGTAAGTGTACCATATGATCTTAGCTCCCAGGGCATCTTGGGATAAGCCACTGTGGACAGGAACAGTTGGCCACTGCAGCCCTCCCTACTCCTGCCCCAGCTGAGGCATTAGTGTGCTAATGGAGGCTTGTTCTCTCCACTCTCCACAGGGTGCTTATTCTGCCTTTGTGTACAGTTATGCCGTGGAGAAGCCACTGTCTATTGGGCACAAGATGGCTGGTTACCTCCCCAGCCTCTTCTGGGGTTTCATCACCCTGGGCCGGTTCATTTCTATCCCCATCTCCTCAAGAATGAGGCCAGGCACCATGGTGTTCATTAACGTGGTAAGTGGCCAAGTGGCCTCCTTTCCCTTCTTAGAAACACAGACTTTGCCTATTCCTGACCTTACCACTGCCCAAGACATTTTCCCAGGACTGTGCTCTCCCAGAATAGTAAAAAGGTAGAAATGGAGGAGAAATACTGGCAAAGAAAGGATGGAGAACAAGGCCCTGTCTGGGCCTGATTTTACATCCTTAAAAGCATGAGTAGAGGAGATGGTGGGTGATTACTATGGAAAGGAAAGCAGACCCCAGCTGACGTCTGATGATCAGGAGGGATATAGGTCTCAGCCTTGGTCCTCCTGTGTTTCTCATAGTGCCTCTGGCTAGTGGAGCAATTTGCCTTTGGCAGCTCTCCAGGAGAGTCTTAGATGGCGAGACTAGCATGTAGCTAGGCAAAAGAACCTGCTTGGCTACAAACAGTCCAGATTAGTGTACTGATGTTTGTTCACGTCTCCATCACAAAGGACTCCAGATTACAGAATCCCTTAGGTACATCTAGTTCAACCTCCCACCATAACATGGACCACTCCTGTGATATCCCTGCCGGTCTTTGCTTAAATGTCTCCAAGGATTGGAAACTTACTACTTTTCTAGGAAATTCACTGTAAGAAAACACTTCCCAAGCTGAAGAGATGCCCCAGTGGTTAAGAGTACTGGCTGCTCTTTCAGAGGACCCAGGTCCCTGGCAACCATAAACTGTCAATAAATCTAGTTCCAGAGCACTTGACACTCTCTTCTGTCCTCCTCAGGCACTGTATGCATGTAGTGCACATATATGCAGGCAAAACACCCATATACATAAAATTAAAAAAAAAAAACAACTTAAAAAAGACTTCCAAGCTAGGTGTGATGGCAGCACACCCCTACAGTCCCAGCACTTGGGAGGCAGAGGATTGAGTTCAAAGTCAGCCTGGGCTACATAGAAAGAATTTGTCTCTAAATAAATAGTAAATAAGTAAACAAAAATGCTTTTGTAGTCCAGGAGATGTTTACTTGTGCAGAATAGTTGAGAGAAGGAGGAGGTTGGATGAGGGTGGAGCTAGGCAGAAAGGTTCTCTGATGTTTTGTGGGCAGAGTAGATGGGAACTTTTTTGAGTGGAGGAGGAAGGACACAGGATTCAAGTACTACATGGATGGGGTCCATTCCTCAGTACAGTGACATGCTTAAGGTCATAAAGAGAGAAGGGTTCAGCTGGGTGCAGTGGCACACACCTTTGATCCCAGCACTCTGGGAGCCAGAGACAGGCAGATCTCTGTGAGTTCTAGACATCCTGGTCTACAAAGCAAGTCTAGGACAACCCAGGCTACACTGAGAAACCATGTCTGGGATTGTGGGGAGAGGGAGGGAGAAAGGGAGAGAAAGAAGAGTTATTTTGGCTCTTACTTTGTGATGTTCTAGTCTATGATCTAGTCTATGCAGTGCTGGATAGCATAGGCTGGAATTGAGCTGGGCAAATTGTTAATGTCATAAGCCAGGAAAAAAGGCAGAGGAGGAGTAGAAGCACACGATCCCCTTCAACAATACGCCTCCAGTGACCTAAGGAACTACGGTCCTCCCAACCAATAGTTTGAAGCAGCTACAATAATCCCTTAAAGACCAAGCCTTTTGCGGGTCTTCTGAAATCCAATGACAACAGAGAAACAACCTTAGAGCTGAGTATTTCATTTGCTTTTGATGATATCTTGAGCCTGACCACCCTGTGGGTTTCCCCCAGCCCACCAACCTTCCCCACCCCCAAGCCCACCAATCTCCTCTTTTCTAGTCATCAGGTTGATGTGCCCAGCACCAGAGGCTCCACCTTGACAAACACAGCTCCTCACAGCTAGGTGCAGGCACACAAAGAGGCTCTAAAGACTTTCACAGCATTAGGAGTTCTGAGTTCCTTTGGCCACCAGAGGTCAGGATGGTTTTTAGCACCTCTTGTTAAGCAGCATCAATGTCCAGCAGTCTCCAGCAACAATGCCAGCTTTGTTCCTGAGTTACAGGTGACACTGCGTTCGGCAGGGGAGAGAGGGCGGTGTTTTGGGTGCTGCTAAGGATGTGCTATACCACTGAGCTATATACCAGGCCGGAAGCCAACTCCTAAATACAACTGCTGAACAGCAAAGGAGGAATAGAATGTACAATTAGTTGCCAGGTAGAGAAAACTCAGTTCAGTGTGAGTCACGCTGTTAGTGGTCCAGGGAGTGCTGTGTATGTGGAGCAACTTTATAGGCTCTGGCCCAACGTCATGGTTGTAAGGACAGTAAGGGTCCCTAGCATGGAGACATTTGAATCTTGTGGCTGTAGCAAATAGGATATGGACAAAGACCCCATGAAAGAATCCCATCCATGCTTGGGAACTGAGCAGAGAGGAAGAGCAAATAAACAGGGCTGTGGAGTCATCTTTGCCAAATAATATGTTGTATTTGGAGCCATAGATATATCTGTGACTTCTGCTCTTTTAATTTATTATTATTATGTGTGTGTGTGTGTGTGTGTGTGTGTGTGTGTGTGTGTGTCAGGGGGCACACATGAACCATGGTATGTGTGTGGAGGCCAGAGGACAACTTTGAAGAGTTGGTTTTCTCTTTCCACTTTAATATGGTTTCCAAGGTGTCATGTATAGCTGCTTGGCCTGCATGTATGTCTGTGTGCTTCTTGCATGGCTGGTGCCCACAATGGCCAGAAAGGGCATTAGACCTCCTGATATTGGAGTTACAGATGACTGTGAGCCATCACGTAGGTGCTGGGAATCAAACCCAGGTCTTCTGAAAGAGCAGCCAGTGTTCTTTTTAACTGTTGAGCCATCTCTCCAGCTCCTGCTTTCTGCTTTTGTTTGTTGTATTTGAGACAAGGTCTTACTACATAGCTCAAGCTACTTCTAATTCATAATCCTCCTGCCTCAGACTCCTAAGCCCTAGGATTACAGGTGTACACCACTATAGCCCACTACCTTTATATTTTTACCACATCAAAGAAGTCCTTCAAGTTGCCTCTCCATGGAGAAGGGGCATGTTCATCTTCAGCCACTGTTTCTTGAGGATCTTCTGTGGGGCAGGACCAGTGTGTCTGAGGGTGATTCTAGAATACATCATTTCTGAGGGATCTTGAGTCAGAGGTAATGGGGTTCCCGTGCCTCCCTTTTCCAGTGTAAGCAAAATCCCGTAAGGTCTCCGAAGGCTCCTTCCTCTCAGCCTGCCCAGGCCTTCATCGATGATGGGAGGAGTGGGTTCTGGGCTAGTTGTGCTTTTTAAAAAAAATTTTTATTTTTACATAATATTTAGGTCTGTGTACTTATTGTTATCCTAGAAACAGATATACAGATACTTACCTGCAATGCTATTTGTTTTGTGGTGCTGCCAGCGCCTTGGGCACCCAGGATAAGTGTTCTAACACTAACCTACATACATAGTCCAAACCCAGGAACATTTTTCCATCAAAGCTAGGACTTGGTGTAAAACGTGAAGTTTCTATAGAACACAGAGTGGGGCTGTAGCTTAGCGGTGGAGTGCTTACCAAGCATGTACCAAGCCCTGGGTTCATCTCCCAGCATTTTGGGAAACCACACAGAAATGTTGGAAGCTCAGCAGTTTGCATCTTTTATATCATTTCATCACAAGTCTTGGCACTTCCTTGCTAACTAAATGAAGAAAAGATAAGAAAAAGAAATAAAAAAGAACATGACTGCTCCTAGGTATGGTGGATGAGAAGGTTTATTGTAGACAAAAGGGAGAGCATAGCCAGAGGCAGAGACATCTAGGAGAGTCCAGAGTGAACATAACCCTGAGCTAGGCAATACGAGGAGAGCAAGGAGGAGGAGAAGGGAGAGAGAGCCAGAGGCTAGAAGGGTAAAGGGTAAACCATAAAGAAACCAGGTAACCAAAATGGCTGGATTATATAGGGAAGGGCAGCTGGGGGAAGGGCACCCCAGCCACTGGGCTGAGAAATTTTAGGGTGGGGTTGAGATATGTCAGCCATACCCTATAGCAGGTAGGGACTAGGGGTGCTGAGAGAACCTAGCAGCCAGTTCCACTTTGGTATGTTAAATAGGCACCTCAATTAGCCATTTGTCCCTGGTTTGAGACCTAACACTAACTACTGGTATAAAGATAAAAAACATAGGGTTTAGGGCGCCACAATCAGGGAGCACTCAGCTAGGACCTGCAGCAGGGGCTGCAGACTCCAAGCCATGTGCTGCTCTGGTTTCCTCCCAGGTGTGTTTTGCGTAGAAATCACTCAACACTTACATAAAAACATTTTTTAAAGAGCTTAGAAACTGGGTTATTGTAGTGAAAATCTGCCTGAGGGGCAGGGACCTTGCTGAACAGGCAATCTGAGCCATCGGATTTAAGTCAAATCTAGGGGGCACAGAGCTGGCTGCTACAGCCATTGATCCTCTTGGGTGTTGGATTCCTAGAGGGTGGAGACCCAGTGACCACCACCCATCCTTATGGCTTCCTCACTCTGGATCTTAGAACTCAGGTGTCAGAGGAAGAGAATGGGAGGAGTGGGGATTGTAGACAGCCCAGTTCCACCACCAGGAGGAGAAATGTTGATGAGAATTCAACATTCAGAGAAGACACTGGAGACCACCAATGCTTATTCCCTCACTGTTCACTAGGTGCTGGGGGGAGAAGTTGCCGCTGCGCAGGGTGCAGGCAGGTTCACCCTCCAATGCTTCCTAGGTCCCAAACTAGGGATGTTGCAGTTATCAGTGAGACCACAGGGTGGTGCATGGGCCGCACCATTCTCCTGGGGCCAGTAAAGATGCCCCTGCCTGAGCATCCTTTCCCTTTCTCCAAAATGCCCAGCTTTGTGCCCTAATTGCCTCTGCCTCTGCTGTGACAGGTGGGAGTGGTGGTGACATTCCTCCTGCTGCTTATTTTCTCCTACAATGTCATCTTCCTGTTTGTGGGGACTGCAAGCCTGGGGCTGTTTCTGAGTAGCACCTTCCCCAGTATGCTGGCCTATACCGAGGACATACTCCAGTACAAAGGTGAGTGGCAGAGGCAACATAGGAGCATGCTTCCAGCAGCTAGTAGCCAGATCCTCCCCTGCTCCCAGGTTGCTGTGGTATTCTAGGCCTGTACTTCGTTTTCACCAGGAAAATCAAAACGCCTCCTAGCATGGGTGGGAGCACACGTGTTTGGTCATGGGTGTCCTGTCCATGGCGTCTCATGTGTCCTGTGTGTGTCTTTGCAGGCCACAGGGAAGCCTTGTGGCTTCCTTGTCCATTTCCTTCTCTTCCTTATGATGGCATGGTACTGTTTATGGATCTACAATTGACATAGTATCTTGTCTTGTAGAAGAAAACAATTTTTGTGGTAGAATGAGTCAAAGAATCAAGCACCTTTGAGTTTCTGGCTTCTGGATCCTCTCAGTGGGGTTCAACACCTGGCTGAGACACAACTCAATCAGGGAAAATTTCTTTTGAACTGTGATTCAGAAGCAGCGCTAGCCATGATGGGAGGGCAGAAACAGCATCAGCCAGTATCAGTGCCCATCCTGCAAACATGTCTGTGTGCTAATAATGACATTATGAAGAACAGGAGACATGCTCAGGAGACACAGTCCCTTCCCCCAGCTCATCCTGGCTGCAGGGAAGGTGTCTCCCTGGGGGGTCCAACATACTTAGACTCTAAACTCAAGAGAGTCAACTAAGTGATGAAACAATGTCCTCATGTCAGTTTTGAGAGGTAAGCTGATGTTCCAGAATGGCAATAACAAGTTCTGCAGAATGACCACTCAGCTCCATCTTCCTGTCACTTCCCATGCTCCAAGCTTACATTCTGTCTTTCTCATTATTTACTTGCTTGGAATATTGAACGGTGCTGATCTTTCCCAATTATCTGGTCCCCTCCTCTGCCTTTGTAGGTCTGGACTGGTCTTGTTTCCCTTCAGTCTTGTCTCCATCTGGCCCTCAGGCTCAGCATTATGAACCCCTGGAGTTCTATACTACAACCAGGGCCCAGGCTCCTCTGAGTGCAGAGATGGCCTGTTCTGACGGCATCTAGGTGTGATGCTGCAGAGGGTCCGCTGAAGCACAGCTGGCTGTAGCTTCCACACTAACCTGGGGTGCTCCTTTTTCCTGAAGTCTCCCAGAGCTGCCATCTAGCCACATTTGGAGTTCCTTGATGACACAGCATCTGTTTTGAGTCACCATGTTTTGGCCATAGCCACACTTGGTATGGACTGCCTCCATCTGCTCCATGATTCCCACCCCATGCCCTTCCAAGAAGTATCTCTGATTCCATGGAAAGGAGTCCCCCTCCCCCTTTGTGCCCCACCGACTCAGGCTGTCCCTGCTATATGTATGACCCATCTCACAGTTTCTGTACTATCTATGTCCTCTCCAACACAGTCCCACAAAGAGAAAGAGTGCAAGCTTGAGGTCATTGCAGGCACAAGCATCAGTCCTACCTCCATATTTGCAGGTCTGACATCATTTCTTTTCTTCTCATAGTGTTTCGGTTTTCTTGTCTGTCACATGATGGCTCAAACCTATAATACTAAATTTGGGAGGCAGAAGCAGGTAGATCTCTATATGTTCTAGGTCAGCAGGGCTACATAGTGAACCTGATCTCAAAAAAGGAGAAGAAGCTGGACGCTGAGGGGCATGCGCATGCCTGTAATCCCAGCACTCAGGAGGCAGAGGCAGGCAGATCAATATGAGTTCAATGACAGCCTGGTTAACAAAGTGAATCCAGGACATCCAAGTCTATGCAGAGTAACCCTATCTTGAAAAAAAAAAAAAAAAAAACCAAAACAAAACAAATTAGAAAATAAAAAAAAAAATTCAGGAAGAGAAAGGATGAAGGAGGAGGAGGCAGCTGCCTACCTCTTTTGAGCTGGGTTGAACGTTAGTGGCAGAGTACTTGCCTTGCATGTGGAAGGCTCTGGTTTTGTTCCCCAGCACCACAAAAACACCCAATGCTGATCCCATAGGAATGCTCTGCATGGGAGAAAAATGTAAAACTCTCGATTGACTGACATTACTGGCAGTTCACAGGGCTCCCTACTTGCCTCTATACTGGCACTATACCTGGTGTACAGAAGGGCCTCAGGGTGTTTCAAAAGGATGCACAGAACAGTTAGGAGCCCTTAGAATTCAGAGATGGGAATGAGCAGTGCTCAATTTAGAAATCTGATGGGAAGCGAGCTGCCCTGGACTGAGAAAGGAATGGAAAAGGAAAGGAAGAAGCTGAAGAAAGATGTGACAGGGCGAGGCACAATGTGTGAGCACAGGCAGAAGGACAGGGATTGGCTCGAGGGAGATAGGAAGCTGGAAGGAGGTAGAGCCCTTGGTAGATGTGCCATCACTGGCTACAGTATTAACTGATAAGCTCTGGTGTGTCCCAGGGAACCAGAAAGGCAGTCACCCTCCTGGAATACTGTCTGGTAGAGAAGGGAGGTCATCAGCTAGTGTAGTCAGGGATAGAGGAGAAACTGCCATTCCAGGCATAGCGACTGTGGAAGATGTTCCCAAAGGAAATCTAAATTCAGGCATAACATGTGAACTGGAGGAGGGAGAGAAACCTTCAGCAGGCGGGTAAAGGACCACATCTGAGACAGGCAGTGGCGACTCAGGTGATGATGATCACTGTTTATCCTGGCTAAAGGGTGGCTGGGGAGCCAGCAGTATGAGAGATGACCCTGCAAAGCGCATAAAGCATTTAGACTTGTCCTGAAGGTAGAGGGACCTGGCATCAAATGTTTGTCCTGGGCCAGCTCTCTAGAGAAGCCACAAGAGGTATTTAAGGGCACATGGCAAGGGGTATTACAACTGGCCTGAGACTTCAAGTCTGATGCTAAGCTTAGGCTCTGAAGGTCTCAGAAATCCTTTCTGGAAAGGTAGGCTACAGTCATACTAAGAAGAGTCCTGAGTGCCAGGCTCTGCAATGCTGAATGATTGAAGGTCTGAGAACCAGAAGGAGACTTATGAACAGTAGAATAGACACATTACCAAAGTAGGCACAGGTCAGAGTCCAAGATGTCTTAGGAACCCACAGTGGTCTCTTCCACCTTCCAGAGGTGTCCCAGAATGGACTGGATTCTGATAGCTCACACCTACATCCTCAGCTTGCTCTCACCCAACCTTCCCTTCTCGTTTGGCTAGGTTGTGCAACCACAGTGCTGGTGACTGGGGCAGGAATTGGCGAGATGGTCCTGCAGATGCTGGTTGGTTTGGTAGGTGAGGTCTTCTAGGGGTGGATGGGGAGTATGCCTCCAAGCAAATAAGAAGATGCAGCCTTTAAGTCCAAGCTGTCACTTCCTGAGTTCTGCATAGCATGCATAAACCCACTAGGCTGGGGCTTGCTGTTTCCATTTCCAAGCTGGCCAGACTCAAAAGCCAGGCCTCTGAATGTGGGATGTGGAGACCTTAATGACCAAATGCATGAATCCAAAGCAAACATGACTGTCTGGGCCTGGAGCCAGGGGTCTCCCATGGGAATTCTGTTGGCTCTCAGAGCCTGGACAATGTGCCCTGCTGCCGGCAGTGCTCTGTATCCATCCGGCCCAGGTCCGTGTCTCCCAATCTGTAGCAATGTTACCCAAGACCCCGCTCATGTCCAGTGCTTGTCCTGACCATTCCTTAGCTTTCCTTCAACATGACCATGCTGCCTTTGTTTCCCAGGAAATCAAAAATTAAAACCATTACTTTCCTTGACTACCATAACACAGACACCAGTCTTTTTACAGCACAGGATCCTGAAACATAAATAAACTTAGCAGCAGCTTGCCCTATGTCAGTTGGCTTTTAGTAACAGCCAGCAATGCTGTGTGGCCTGGGTTGTCCCTCAAGTCTCCCAAGCCCCTCAGAGCCACTGGAGCCTCCTTTGCTCCCTTCCAGCCTGATGGAAAGGAAGGGTTACATTTTGGATGTCCTCTGCATTGAAATACTATATCTGAGGTCTGATATGGTGGGGTTTCTTTTTTTTTTTTTCTCTCTCTCTCTCTTAAGACAGGGTTTCTTTGTGCAGCCCTGGCTGTCTTGAAATTCACTCAGAGATCCACTTGCCTCTGCCTCCCGAGTGCTGGGATTAAAAGGCACAAGCCACCATACCTGACATGCTGTGGTTTTTTAAGTTGATGGTCTATGAAAGTTCTATTTGCTATTCTGACATGTTTTAAATTTTCCTAATAAAAAGTTAAAAGACCACACACACACACACACACACACATACACCTTCTGTAATGTACCAGTTAGGCCTATGGGTATAGAAATACCTCATAGGTTTAAAATTTCAATAATCACATGGAGTTTTCCAGAATGTTCTAGAACATGGAGCTGAAAGAGTACATGGGTTATAGACAGGTATGGCTTTACAGCAGGATTTATGTCTTCACCAGATTTGAAACCTTGGGGAGACCTTTCCCACATTCCTGTTTCTGGTAGGATGGCCCAACTTGACTGAGAAGCTGAAAAAGGCCCAAAGCAGCCATTTTTCCCATGTACCATCATGTGGGATTTTAATGGCTATTCTGTTCCTTTCTGGCAGATCTTCCAGGCCCAGGGCAGTTATAGTTTCCTGGTCTGTGGTGTGATCTTTGGCTGCCTGGCTTTTATCTTCTACATCTTGCTCCTGTTTTTCCACAGGATACACCCTGAACTCTCATCAGGTAAGAAGAAAAGTTGTTTCTATATAGAGGGGGAAAACAGAGAGGGAGAGGGGAAAGAATGTGATTTTAACAGTCAGAAGCACTGTTCTGTTCCAAATGAAATACAAGGAAATGTTTATTTTTCTTCCTTTTCCCCTCTTCCTGCTTTCCTTGTGATTGTCCACACTGGACTCTAAAGGCAACAGAGGGTAGAACAGGCTGACTCACGGCTTCTCCATTAGCAGAGGGGCATGGACTTTGAACTTGTCTTCCTGTAACCCCTTTTACAATGGATCCTAGGGCCAAAATTCAAAAGCATGAGAGACTAGAGCCTGTCTTCCTGGCTGGAGGTTGGCCCAGCAGCTTAACTGGCCACTTCCTTGCAGTTTTGACTCTTGTCCAAACTGCTTCTTCAAAAAGGAATCCTTTTGGCCAAATGGCAGAGAAGAGTTCTTTCAGGACAGAGATACTCCTAAGAACAGTCTCTCTCCTGGAGACCAGAGGCCAGGGTAGTAGCAAGGCTATTTTTTTAACTCTTTGTGTCCCCTGCGCAGTGACTATAACCTTATACCAGGCTTTTCTTAACAGAGGGTGCCCAAGTTGAGTCAATGCTCTCTCTGTGAAAACAGAATAATTCCAGATTGAAAAACAGCTGCCCACAGCCCCCTCTCTCTCTAAGTGGCATGTTCACTCTAAATACTAAGTACAGGGCCAGAGGTGGTAGCCCATGCCTTTATAATCCCAGCACTAGGGAGACAGAGACAGGTGATCTCTGTGAGTTCAAGGCCAGCCTGGTCTACAGAGAGTTCCAGGACAGACAGGGCTATATAGTGAGACTATCTCAACAAAACACAACAACAACAACAACAAAAAAAAAAACCCAAAAATTAACTATATAGGTCCAGCAAGAGAGAGGACACCCAGTCTCCCTGAACAGCCTCTGAGATGGCAGGTAGTAGCTATTGTCCAGCCTAGCTATCTGTACAGAGCCTCACTTAAAGTTTGCAGTCCAGATGGTTCAGCAGGAAAGGGTGCCTGCCACCAAGACTGACACTTGAGTTGACTCACAGTGTGCAAGGAGAGAACTGACTCCTATAAATTGTCATCTGACTGCTACAAGAATACTGTGTTACACATACCCCTCCCCCCCACACACAATAAAAGGAGGAAGAAGATTATGGTGACTATCAAATGGCTGACAGGTCCTTGTTCCCTTCTTTTTGTTTTTAAAGATTTATTTATTTATGTATATAAGTGTTCCCTCTTTCTGTATATTTGCATAACAGAAGAAGCCATCAGATCCCATTACAGGTGGTCCGAGCTACTTTAAGGTTGCTAGTAATTGAACTCAGGTCCTCCGGAAAAACAACCAGTGGTCTTAACCGTTGAGCTATCTCTCCAGCTTCCCTATCCACCCCCACCTGCTTCCTTTCTTCTGGGAGACAAACAGGCTCCCCCCACCCCCACCACTCTAGACAGTAGTCTCAACCAACTTCAGCACTGCACCGGGACTTGGTCTGACTTCCCAACCCGTGCCTTGTGTTGTGTGTTTGCCCCAGAAGAGCAGAAAAACAGAAAGTTTGCTTGCTGTCAAGAGTAAACTGTTGTGGAGCAAGGTGGGGCAGCCCACATCTGCTACCTGTGCTGTTTATGTTTTCTTTCGTAGTTCTTACCCAAGACAAACCCCTTGGTGTGGAGAACTCTGAGTGCTACCAGAGGTGAAGACCTCAGCTTCCTGAACAACAGTGAGACCAAACTGACACAGGAAGCCAGGGTCGCAGAGGAGGCTTCCCTTGCCACCTTGTTTGTATCTCCCCCTTTCATACTTAGCCAAGAACTTGAGTCCTGGTCCCCGAGACTTCCCTGGACAAATCAAGCACCTGCCTGACACTTTAGTTATCTTCATCTCTGGCTCAGACTTTAGTCTAGGACACCATTGGAGAGGAGGAAAGACTGGTCACACCTCTCCACTCATCACCCCATGCATGAGCTAAACTCTGGGTTTGAGATGACTTTTAGTTGAGGTTTGAAAAAAAGGCTGAAATCATAAATCATTAATCACTGCTAGATGTAGATATATTTTAAATTAATCAAAACTCTCTGGCATGTTTGAAAAGGATTATGGATTCTTCACTTACCCATGGTCCACAGTCCCTTACATTCCTCCTGCAGAAATCAGTAGTTCATCTGTCCTCAGACAGCAAAGAACATGTTGAAGCTTGCTTTAAGACCCTAGTTCACTGGGCTAACTCAGACCAGCTTTAGAAAAGTTGACTGTTAAATTCTTATTTTGAGAGCTAGTCGCTTAGCCATAACTAAAACTTAAATTAATTTTTGAGACAGTGTTTTCTCTGTGTAGCCATGGAGGTCCTGGAATTCACTCCAGGTTCAACACCAGGCTGGCCTCAAACTCAATGAGATCTGCTTGCCTCTGCCTCCCAAGTACTGGGATTAAGGGTATGTGCCACCACTGCCTAGCTTTAAAAAAAAAAAAAAAAGAATTATTTTATAACTAAACAAAGATGCTCCTGACTGCTGTCACTATGCAGTGGCATCAAGGTGGTGGCATTTCTGTGACAGAATACCGCTGGGCTCCTCTCAGCTCTTAGTGACAGCCAAATGATAGTCTGAAGTCAGCCATGGCACAGAAATGACAAAAGCTGCACACCATGGCTGTCCCCCTTTGGGAAGAGATGATTTTTCAGGATCTCGATTCTAACAAGCAACACTAATTGGTTCAGAAAGCACAGGGAGAATGAAATGGACATCCTGTTATTCTTTACTGAGATCCTCAACATGCAGAAGCAGGACCAAGAATTTTAGAAAAAAGCTCTGGAATTTTATACCTTTTATAGAGGAAAATTTTATACTGTGTCAAAGTTTTTTTTTTTTTTTTTCCCATATAAATCTAGGATTACTGAACAATTCAGGCCATGCAGTATACAGACAGCAGTATCAGTATGCAGAACACAGCATCTGTCAGGAGTTCCCAGGTCAATAGAGAACACAGAGGGCTAGCAATATAGAGAATGCAAGAATGCAGGCTCCCAGCCAGCACAGGGCTGGGTACAAGGCTCCAGGAGCCACTGACAAGGCTGTTACGGTGACTTCTGGAAGGAAAGAAATGTCCCATCATAGTCATTGGTTTATCCATGCATTCTCTGTGAACATACATGTGTTCATGTGAAAGTTAAGTGGGTTGTGGTCACAAGGCTGTAGTTCACAGTCCAGACACTAGCAGAGAAATCAGGTAGCAGCCTTCCAGCTGGCCCTCCCCCTCCCACAAGCATTTCCAGCTTGTTTTTGCCAGTATGGAGGCATTTCTCAAAGCAGCCTACCTCAACAGGAATCCTGAGAGAACTAACAGTGGAGTATCTGCTACATGTCTGACACGGGGACTGCCTAAGCTCATAAGCAGCTTAGAAGCCATCCACATTTGGTACAAACTTTAGGTGAAACACAGATGGTCTAAGCGAATCCTTTTAACTATATTTATAAATACTTTTAAAAGTACCCAATGCTGGCCAAATTGAAATGTGCAACCTAACTCTAGTGACTGACCTGGGCAAAGAGAAAGAAGTTGTATTTTTCTTGTAGTTTTTCAAGAAAACATCCTTTTTATACAGATCTAGAAAGAAGAATCACTGGTTATATCTACATTTGTGATGATTGATGTGTTAATATACAAAATAAATTAAGACGAATCTAATACTTTCCTAAAATAAAACATTTTAAGCATAATAAGTGTGTTATCCATCATGAAGGCTAACTAACTGTTTATACTTAAGTTCAAATGGTCTAATGCTCCCCAGAGACAGGTCTCTCTTAGAATTTCACATGGTGCACACACACACACACACACACACACACACACACCCTCATATATGCTACATACATGACAAGTGCATATGTATGTATGTATATATGTATGTATACATCTGGAAGTTTGGGCCAGTGCTAGGGATAGAATCTGGGGCTTTGTGCATTCTAGAAAAGCACTCACCACTGAGCCAAACTTTTTAGCTCTCAAGACCTTTGTCATGTCAGCATTATGAAGTCTCCCTGTTCCCAGATTCCTCCTGCAGACTTGGGAATCTAACTCATTATCAGCACTTGTTCCCTAAAGGAAGGCACAGTAACATAAAGGTGTTTGTTTGTTTTGTTGTTTTTGTTTTGTCTTTTTGAAACAGGTCTTATGAAGCACAAGATAGACTAGATCTTGCTATGTAGTTCAAATCACCTTGAACTCCTGACTCACCTATTTTTATATCCCAAAAGGCTAGGATTACAGGCATGCATCACCATAGCCATTGTATGTGGGTCTAGGAATCAAACTCAAGAGTACACACAGGAGGCAGGCACTCTATCAACTGAGCTATATCCTCAGCTTACAGAGGTTTCTTAGAGAGATTGCATTTGCTCATTCAAAAAGAAAGAAAGAAAGAAAGGAAAGAAAGAAAGAAAGAAAGAAAGAAAGAAAGAAAGAAAGAAAGGAAAGGAAAGGAAAAAAGAAAGGAAAGGAAAGAAGGAAGGAAGGAAGGAAGGAAAGAAGGAAGGAAGGAAGGAAACAAAAGGAAAGAAAGAAAAAGTGCCCACATGTTCAAAGCAGAGGATTAGGAATAGTTTCAGCAGTGATTGAGAGGTCTCTGACTCACGAAGGACTGCAAGGTCAAAGTCACAGAAACAGCAAGTAAATATATATAACGTGTTATAGGATGATGAGGTACTGAAAAGAAAAACCAGGGAAGGGGTCAGCATAGGAATGCCTAACGATGCTTAGCCATCTTACCAATAGGGCAGCATTTGTGTTATACTGGAGCAAGCCAGGTAGGTACATGGGAATATTCCTGCCAGGTAGGGGCTACAGCAAGGGAAAAGGCCTTGAACTGGAATGTTTTATAATCTGAGAAGATGATGGACTAACTTCAGAGAAGGCAGTGGCAAGAAACAGGGTGGCATGCTAACAGGGTCGCAGACCACCATAAGAATGTAGGTGTTTTGGGGGAACATGAGATTATCAGCAGATGGTGACATAGCATGGTTTACATGTTTAAAATTGTCACTCTGGCTCTTTGAAGACCGTGGGGCTAAGTTGACATCAGCTCAGGTACTACTGCAGGCAGGAAGAGGTGACAGTGATCTCGGGCCATGCCGGAGGTGGTAAAGTAAACTCAACTTGAAGGTCAGACAGTCGGAATTTGCTAATGGACTGAGTGTGTATGAGAGAGATGCCAGTCTCAGAAGCCTACGGCATCTGACCTGTGCCCAGGTATGAGGCCAAGTTGAGGCAGGCATGAATGGGGAAGGCTCCACTTACCTTGAGCTATGCACACAGCACTTAACAAGCCAGCATGGAGCTGTACATCCCCGTCCCCTAAAAAAAGGAACTGCTCAAGTATCTGGAGCTCCCTAAGCAGCCCTCAGTTACTCCCCTTCTGTGGCCAAACACATCCTGAAACATCTGGGAATCTGGAAGAGTGGCATCCAGCCTGGACTGGTTTGGGGTGCATATACAACAAGGCAAACTATGCCCTCCAAATGAACTTTTGGGAAAAACCCTTTTCACCATCATGCCTATGCATGACTGAACATAAATTAAAACTAGATGCATTATGGGAAAGGACATGTACAGTGAACTAAGGTGGATACAGCACACACACGCCATGCTGTACCTGTGGAGGGTCAGAGGTGGTCCCTGCCTCTCCATCTTGTCTGAGGAGGGCTCTTTACTACTACATGGGCCAAGATCATGGGGGATCCTCCTGTCTCAGCCTCCCATCTCTGAGAAGAGCAGAAATTCTTAATCTATGGGTCATGACCCCTTTGGGAGGTCACCTAAGACCACTGGAAAACACGTATTTCTGATGGTCTTAGGAACAGACACTGCTCCTCTAACCCAGGCCACCCATATGCAGATATGCTCACATACAACTACCAAGAACTGTATTAAAGGGCCGCAGCAATAGTTGAATATACAACATGTTATAGATCAAAAGAAGGTTGAGAACCACTTGGGTGGAGGGAGCCGTGATGATAAATTTGGCTTTTTGTATTCTGGGGATCTGAACTCAGGTTGTCAGGCTTATGCGGGAAGCACCTTTACCCAAGGAGCCATTTCCCTGGCCCACTGCATCTACTCTGTGCTCTCACTTTGCTTCTCAACAAACTCTCACCACTTCCTTGTTTCTTTAATTCTCTGAATGACACCATGAACCTACACTCAGTCCAGACTGAGATTACTGGTAAAAGTTTCAACACTGGAAGCCCAGGAATACCCAAGAGTTGCTTTAGGGCCAGAGAGATGACTTGGCACTTAGCACTTCCTGCTTTCCCAGAGGACTCAGGTTCAGTTCCCAAAGCCATGTCTAATTCCAGTTCCAGGGTATCTGATAATTTCTCCCGGTCTCTACAGGCACTGGGCACCCATGTGGTAAACTTAAGATTGGCTGTTATGTGTTATGGTGCACACTTTTAATGCTAACACTCAGAAGGCAGAGGCAGGTAGATCCCTTGTGAGGCCAGCCTGGTTTACATACTGAGTTCCAGGCCAGCCTGAACAACATAGTGAGGCCATGTCTTTTTAAAAACTGCTATGCACATCAGTTTATAATGCTTTCATGGATATCAAGCCAGCTGCTAGATTTGGTAGCTAGAGCTTAAAGAAGTTCTGTAACTTGCAGTGTTCAAAGCCAAGGGACCAAATGAAATCATCTAGCTAGTGGTTGTAGGGACTGGGAGACTGAGCCTTGGGGGTTCTTCAAAACCTAAAGGAACTGATGCAGAAGAGTAAAAATGAGAAGGGAGAGGTAGGGACTGATTCAGGAGTCAAAGTGGTTTCGGGAAGGTATGGGAAGAGAATCTCAAGAAGAGAGGTTAACGAGACTGAGCAAGCAGTGGGCAGGTTGTGGGAGGCGCTTTGGTAAATGACACCAGTGTATTCAAAACACATACAATCCAGGACCATGGCCAGCACCTGCCAGGACCCTGCCCTGCCTCTGAAACCTTCACCACTACTGGCCGACAGGCTGTTATACTTCTGAGTGACCCCAGATGAAGTCACTTCATGATCCTTTCAGCGCCAGGTGTTCTGTGGTGGTCAGGCACTGTCTCCTACCAGTGAAGCCAGTTTTGCTATTATATGTCTCTATAAAACACAAATGCTACTTGGAGTTAGCATGCATCCCTAAATTAGTGTCAACAGTTGGAAAGGCCAGATCAGAAATGGTGGCTTACTCAGGCTTTTCCACTGAAGGACCCGGAGCTTTGGGTATTCTAAAATGCACCCTGAATCTGTAAGAATCAATTTCTCGAATCCTCTGAGCTCAGTGTACCACTGGGTAATACATTTGAGAAGATATGCAGGAGAGCCCTCTGTTGGGTCATGTGGTCAAGCATAGCCTCAAGAAACATCTCCCAGGGCCTGTGGCCTGCCCACCAGCCATCTGGTATGCTCTTGTTACTTTCATCTGGATATGAACCTCCTTTCTCTGATGTAATCTTGTCACCTGTTAGGCCCACTTTCTCCATGATGTTTCAAGTCAATTCTAAAAAGGCTTAATTTCCCTGCTAAATTAATTAGCCTCCAACTTTCTGCTCAAAAGCCATAAAAAGAAAGGGGGCTAGGAAGGCCAAGCATTGTGGTACACATCTGTAACTCATGAGGCTGAGGCAGAAGGACCACAAGTTCCAAGGCTATCAAGGTCTACATTGAGAGTTCCAGACCAGCCAATGCTACATTGAGACCCTGTCTCAAAACAAAAAAAGATGGTCGAGTGGAAATACTCAAAGAGTGCTCATTGCAAAGGCTGCAATAAACACATCTGATTAGAATTGTATGACATGTCCAAAGTGTTAAATTTTAAATACACAAAACATTTCAGGGCCAGCAAGATGGCTCAGAGAATAAAGGAGGTGCCACCAAGCCTTTGACCTAAGTCTGATCCACAGGACATGTGTGACAAAAACTGATTCAAAAAAACTGTCCTCTGATGGACATGCGTGATACTATGGCATACTTATATACCTGAACATACACCCAGAACAAAACAAAGAACAAAAATAAAAAACATATATTTCACATGACAAAGTGTTTTAGCCCATCTGTTCTCCCTCAATTTCTTTTATGCCATCTTAGCGACCTCTTCTGATCAGACTCAGGTCAAAAGCTTGGTGGCACCTCCTTTAATCTCTAAGCCATCTTGCCGGCCCTTTAAATGTTTTCATGGAGACATATCAAGCAGCTAAAGAAGGGTTTCAAAGATACTCACTGAATTCTTTTCTTACCCAGTTAGTGTGGATGAAAATATCAGCAACTGCTATGATAGATGTGAGGGAGGGAGAGGGAATGATCACTTCAAGCAATTTTGTTAAAAATATTTATTTTAAAAAAATACAATTGTTGTCCATATCTAGTTGCACATATATCTATTAACAGATCTCTATAGCTCTGGACTTGTAGTAACACCGCCAGAGTGCTTTCTCAAAGTCAGCTTCCCACATACAAGCAAACCCCATCTGTCAGTTCTTACATAAAGGTTTTTAAAAAAATGCATTGTTTTCCTAAAATACACATGATCTTTATAGAAGTTAACAAAGCTTTTGCATAAAGCTTAGAAGCAACATAAGTAAGGACCCCTGACGGGATCCTGGCGGTCCCTTGCAATGCCTGGAGATGACACCCAGTGGACCCCCATCTTTTTTTTTTTTGAA